TAAATTCGAAGTGATTTTTTTCAATTGTCATCTTGTTGTTTTTCTTTTTTTGACGATTTTTTTTTGTTTTTTGAAATAATTTTTTCAAGAAATGTGCAAATTATTTAATTTATTAATAGTTTTGCTTTTTTACATTTTGCTGTTTTTTTTCTTTTTCGTTTTATAGTGCCAGCAAATTTACAAACAGTTTTACTGTAATTTCCTTTTAAAATACGAATAAGTAAGGAAAAAAAAATTTTTTCTTGAATACAGATGTAGTTTGGTTATTTACCTTTAATTTTACTGCTACTGTTCAGTTTAGAATCTATTTCTCGGCAAGTATCAGCGCAGTTTTTTACTTTACTTTGCACTGCTTTCTGAATATTGTTCGAACTTTTTATCTTTTCATTGCTCATTAAAAGCAGTACTGGTTTTGAGGACATTTCTCTGTATTACCATCTCTATTTAGCCAAATATCGCATTGGAAAAACAAAAAGGAAAAAAGAGTGGAAGAAGCTTAAAACAGTGTTAGTTGGAGTATTAGGAAATTTATTGTCTCCACGTATCTGTGATTGACAGCCACAGAAATGGTGTGAAATTTTGCGGGTATCAGATGAGTGATTTTCTGTTTTTAGACCTGTTTTTAGAACACTGTTCACAATCAAAGTTTGAAGCTATAAAATTTAGTTTGTCAAGATACCAGTTAGGAAAGATGTCTATAGTAGAAGCCAAACAAGAAACATTAAAAAAGAGGCAAAAAAAAAGACAAAAAAAAGGGAATTTTCACCTAAGTTTTTTTTACTCTTTTGCTTTTTGCAGTCTTTGTTGTTCTATTTTCTCAGTAGAGTAAAATAAAACAGAATTTGATTATATTTAGGTTACCGTTCTGTTTTTTTCCGGTTTTTCTACGGCTTTTAACTCATTAATCAAACTTTTGTTTTTCGCTTTGGTCGTTTCTTCCGCGTCATCGTCATCGCCTCATCACCAGAGTTATACAGTCAATTCCATTTATTTCTTTCCTTCTTTACTTTGCTAAGCAAAACAGAAAGTTTATTTATTTTTTTTTGCTCTTGTTCTTTCTTTTTTTAACATTACTCAGCAGAGCAAAAAAAAAAAGGATTTTTTCTGATTGTTGTCGTTGCTTTTGTCATTGCTCATCTCGCTGATGCTGTTGTTGTGTTGTACAGGGAAAGTAACCCGATTTCTTGAAAAAAATTACAGAATAGGAAAAATTTTTGTTAAATACCACTCATTAAAAAGGACTAAAAGGTACACATATTTTAACTTGTACAAAAAAAAAGGTCAAAGTGGCAACAGCACTGGCAGATGACGATTAGCGACAACCAACGACAACATGAAAGAAATGGAGGCCATAACAGCAACAATGATGACGATCGATTACACACAGTTTTGCTAGGCAGTAAAAAAAAAGTTAAAGGGATGAGGAAACACTGAAGTTAAAGTGGAAATGAAAAAAAATACGGAAAAGAAGCTACATCAAACGTTGGAATGTAAATAGGATTATTGGATCAATGATGTTTGCTAACGGCTTTTCAGTTAAATATCAGAAACAAAAATATTTTTGTGCGTTGGATTTTTTTTTAAAAAAATTTTCTTGCAAAACAGTTAACAACTAATTACAGGTTTTCAACTTTCTTTTTTCTTAAAATTTTTTTTTTGCAATTTCTAAAAAACAGTTTGCTTATGCTCAATTTCTATGCATAAATATAACTTCTTGAACAATAGTAACAATGATATACTGCCGACTGGTGTTATCGTCGTCACCGTTGCTGTTATGCCGCATTGTCGTTGCCGCCATTCCAGAATCATCAACAACATTTTTCTGTCACTTGAACAATAGATGAGTGTATAGGCTTGCAGGTTGGAGAAACTTCTAATCAATAAAGTAAAAATTGAGAAACGAAGACTTTGCAGTATCATCATCAATATTTTTGGTTTAACAAAGCGAAAGAAAAAAAATTTGAAAAGAAAGCAATTTCAACAGTGAAAAGAAATTTTGCTGGATTATACATATGTGTATATGTATATCAATGATTCCAGTTATGTTCATCGTCATAACTTCTGAATCACAAAAATTTTTCTTGCTCTCTCTTTATTATTGTTGTCAGTACATTAGTGGTGTTGGGATGCAAGCTAAGCTTGAAAACTGAAGAACTAACTGAGTAACTTTGTTAATTATATAATAGAAAAGTAAGGAATGGGAGAATAGAGGAGACGGAAGATGGAAGAGAAGGGGAGAGGTGAGAAGTGGAATTATGGCCTTTTTTTTTGAATTTTTATTATTGGCAGCAGCTTCCTTCATCTGTAGGTGTCGAGTCTTGGTCTCTTAAGAAGTAAAAAAAGGGTCCAGTAGTTGATTTAAAAAACTTGATGGTCTTTCGTTGTTTTTAGGAAGAACAACAGTACTTTATGCCTATACGATACGGAAGATATAACGTTGCGCAACGAAATACGTATCTGCGGTATCGATGCCCTTCATGAAAGCGATACAGTAAGTCACTTGTTGTTAATGTTGGTATCATTGGTATCAGTGTTTTTTAAGCTTAATCGCATCAATATTAACAGTCAAAGACGTCTATGAAGGATTTACTGCTGTAGCTGCTCAGCTACTATAATTTTAAGCTGTTAAATTGATTATCTGTTTGTTGCTAAGTTATTCATTTAAAAAAAGAGACGGAAATATATTCTTTATTTTCCGGTGACTGAAATCTACCACAAACATGTCTAAGAAAGACTCGTTAAAATTTTATTGTTTTTTATATGAGCCATCTACGACATAGTTTGATGATACTTATCACAGTAATTGATTGATAATTAGCAAATACTGATCGATCGATGCTGCATAGGTTCCAAGTCTTTTTTTTTTTTTTTTTTTTTTTTTTTTTTTTTT